GGTTCTTTGTTACCATAGGCTTAGGAAACTAATACACTTGGCTAATGCAATAAACAACAAACAGTAAAGATCAGCCAAAATGGTGTAATCATAGATGAAGTTGCTGTTTACTCTGTTCTGGGCTCAATTCAAAGTTCTAGGGTCATACTTGCATTGATTCTATAAAGTGACAGCACATGGTTGGCTCTCCTCCATTTATTTCTTCAATTTAAACAGCAACTCTGAAATCTCCACTATCTGTAATCACTCAGAAAAATGTAAATATAAACTTAGCAAATACTATTTCCTTTGGTGAAAAATATTGATTGTATACCATTTTTCTGGTGAAGTAGTAAGACATAAACTATTTGAACTGCCTTGATCTACTGCTGTTCTCCTCTGAAAGGACTTTATTTCCCTTTGAAATCTTAAGAGACGTTTTTGGCATAATTACTCCAGCCCAAATGGTTCTGAGATACAGATTTTCTTAGAAATTAAACAGTGAACTATTTCTTTTAGTTTAAAAAACCCAGTTAACATGTCTATATTTTTTCTTTGAAGCTCTTTAGGAAGAATTCTTATAATACTTCCTATGTAATAAATAAACTTGGGGAAAAATGGAAAAATTCATATTTGCTAACCAGTTTCAGCTGGTCATTAATTCACCATTCCTCTTTATGTTTAAAAGATTATCTTGATAATCTCTGGAAACTCTGAATGACAGCCTATAACGTCAGGGAACAAATAGTCCAATATATTTTTGACACTCTCCATAACTTCCTGTATGTCATATCTTTGGGTCTCATAAACAGATTTTGAAAAAACTGGCAATCTATATACAAATGTTTTAAAAACTGGCAATCTATATAGAGGTGCAGAGAGGGTGTTATCAAAGAAGTGTCAGTATTGGAAGCATTTCAGAGTTTTCAATTCCTCAAATTTAACAATAAACCCTAGAATTTTGCACAATCAAGTACTTAGCTCTTCTTCTAAAACTTTACCACCACATTCAATTTTCTACTCACATTCAATGGTACCTTCACGATTCTGATTTATATTCACTCTGTGTGTGTGTTTCCGCGTATGTGTATAAAATAACTCCACATTCCCTAGTAAGTTGTTTCATTGAGCCTAGTAAAATGCAAGAATATTTCTTCAATTAGGAGCGCCTTTCCTTTTCTGATTGCTTACATAAGCTGATGACTATTTTTTCATTCTGTTATTGAAGTGGTTCACTATATTTTATTTAATAAACTGAAGAAACGTTTATCTTATTTGCAACATAATGCAGTGTCATAGTTTTGTTTCTCTAACTCCAATTATTTCATTTGTAATTTGCACATTCTTGTGGTAATCAAGTTGTGAATGTATAAATCAAAACAATTATCCTCTTTTATATTTTATTTTGATTTTTCAACAATTCCAAAAAGCTTCCTTTATTCACAAATGGAATATTTATCATGTCCCTTTTGTAGTAAACACTTTTTTCCAATAACTCTGATTTTATTATTTTTTTACACGTTTTATGTTTTTATAGGGTATATTGTTTTTATAAATATGTTTTGAGTTAAAAATGGTAATTTTTCAACAACAGCTTCACCACAAAATCAGCACTCACTCGAACCATAATGATTTTAAAACAATTTACTTGGGAGTTTTTGAGACTTCTCCCCTCTTCAACTGGAAATTTTTTATATTGTTATGTAATTCTCCTCCACGACTAAATTTTAATAGGTAAAATAATAAAATAAAATAAGTAATAACAAATAATGGAATACTGCTCTTATTTTTAACAATTTCAAACATAGTGTATCTTGAAAGTGCATTATTTTTCATCTAATTAGATGACAAACTACTATGCACTGGATAATTATTAAAATACTTGGTACCACAAGTTACACCACTGTTGGCCTCAATTGATAAACCTGGACATTTTTTTTTTTTTTTTGTCTTTTGTCTTTTTTCCGTGTCCGGCAACGGATCGCAACCCTCAGTGTCGCCCCCGTACCGGACCGGGGACCGGCAACGGGCCTGCATGCCCCGGTGCTTCTTCCCGGCCCCCCTCCC